GGTCACCAAGACAGAACTGTGCTTAAGACACAAGGACAGCCCATACTGAACAAGAAAGTTACTACAGATCACCCCTCACAGCTCAGGGGGCTTGTGTCCCCAGAAAACCATGTTCCCCTGAGCAATTCTGAACTGCTCTGGTCTGACCTGGGACATCTGGGCATGCTGAGCCTGTGTTGATTGTCCAGGAGGAGCCCACCCTGCAGCTGTGCCCAGCCTGCCTATCCCTGCTGATTTGCATGTGCCCACAGCAGAGCCCACTGCCCTGAGGACTTCTTAAAAGGCTGCTCACACCCTGTGCAGGGGTCAGTCCCCACAAGGACACAGCATGGCCATGTCGGCCCCTGCTCAGCTTCTGGGGCTCCTGCTGCTCTGCCTCCAAGGTAAGGAGGAACAGCTCTGGGGATTTACTAATCACAGTGTGGTCAGTGCTGCCTGGCTACTCAAGAAAGTCTTCTTGAAACATGATTAATTATAAGGATATTTATGTTTATGTTTCCAATGTAAGGTGCCAGATGTGACATCATGATGACCCAGTCTCTACCCTCTTTGTCTACATCTCCAGTAGACAGAGTCACCATCACCTGTAGGGCCAGTCAGAGTATTAGTAGTTGGATAGCTTGGTATCAAAAGTAACCAGGACAACCCCTTAGGTCCATGATGTACTATGTATCTGTTTTGGAATCTGGGGTCTCATCAAGCTTCAGTGGCAGTGGATATGGACTGATTTTTCTCTCACCATTAGTAGCCTGGAACTTGACGATGTAGCCACATATTTCTGTCAACAGTATAGCAGTTCCCCTCCCACAGTGATACAGGCCATGACAAAAACTTCCCAGGGAGCAGAAGTGTTAGGCTGGGCTATCCCAGGCGCTCCTCCTACTGCCTCCACCTGATGAGGGCACAACTCAGAGGCACCAGGCTCTGGAGGTCTCTAGAAGACTTTGGTAGGAAGGGCCAGGAAGGCTTCTCTGTACCCCACCCTCTTTCCTTCTCAGCCCCAACAGGTGAGACATGACCATTTCTTTAAGGTTTAGTGAGTGACTTTGTCACTTTATGGGAGGAGTCCAGCTCTTTGTATCAGTTTGTACTCCTACCTCAAATTTGAAATACATGGAATTACAGTCTAAGTCACAGCTTTCAAAAGCCACACCTCCTCTGAGTGAATGTGAAGCCTACAGATTCCTGCAGTGGCCCAGGAGCTCCTCGGGGACACAGATACCCAAATTATAGCACAGACAATAATGTGCACATAACTGTTGTGATTCCCACATGCAGCAGATAAAACAGAAAAGGCGATGGGGTTTGGATCTGTGGTTAAGTGCCCCTAGGACCAATCTCTGGTGCCAACAGCAACAGCAATATCATCTCACTGTGCAGGTCTATCCTTGAAACCTCCTCCTCCCCAGGCATTCCATAGTGAGTGCCAGGGCCTCCTCTCTGTGGTTCCTTGGCCTTGGCAGGACCGACAACAGTCCTACGTACTCATCCTCTGATGGCACCCAACCTTACCTTATCTTCTGTGGTGGAAATTTATCATCTGCTTTTGACACAAGTCCATCAAGTTTCCTGGGTCCTGATACACTCCCTGGTGAACTTCTCTGAGCCATCTAGTAAGGAGCAGAAGACCATCACTGCAATAGTTTTGAATCTGGAGTTTCCTGGTTTCTGCAGGCAGGTGGGGGCAGCACAATCTGCAGCCTCTGGAGCTCAGGAGTGTTGCTGCTCTTAACATGGGCCATGCTTGCCAGCTTTGCACAGACCCAGAAATTTATGCTTACAAGCTGGACTCAGATCACTCCTCTGTTCCCATTATGTAACGACTATATGCTCTGCTCAGGCATCTGCTAATCTCAAGTAATATGTCAATTGTCCCCATTACCATGGCTGCACTGGAAAGGCAGTGCTCTTTCTTTGTGCCATTTGAGGACAGTGTAACTTCTTTCCCTGTGGCATTAACATATGTGTAAAATCAATTAGGTCACAGGGGTAATGACATAAGGAAAGGGAAGTATCTTGGGAACCTGGGACACTGTCTGTGCAATCAGTGGAGCCTTTGCATCTCCTCAAGTCCAATCTCAATGTACCACTTCCATCTTAATGTAAGCAGAGCTGGGCCCAGCAGGTTCTGCCCTGTGCTGAGTCTCACACTCCCCTGTGGTTAGCAGCTAAGTCACTAAGTGCCCAGGGTATGGTGCCAGGGCTCAGGGATGCCTTGGAGCTGCATTTAGAACAGTCAATAGTCTTTCTTCCTCCCTTCCTCCCTCCCTTTCTTCCTTTCTTCCTTAATTTCTTTCCTCCCTCCCTCAACTCTCCTTTCTTTTCTCACTCCCTCCCTCTCTCCCTCCCTTTCTTCCTTCCTTCCTTCCTTTTTTTCTTCCTTTCTTTCCTTCTGTTTTATTTCCTGGGGATGGCCTGCTCTTCTCTAGTGCTCTGCTGGTCTCTGCTATGACTCTCTATTGGGGACTTGTCAGAGGCACACACACTTTCCTCATCTAGTACAAACCCTTCTTCCCCTAGAAATGTGCTAGGGCCCATGGCCATACAGCAGGGCTCCTGGATCACAGCACAAGCCTGCTGCAGAGTGTCCTGCTCTGGACCTCTCAGCATAGACAGACTTCTCAGGTAGCTGATGAGTGGTTGTTCATCTCACCCAGCATGGAGGGTTCCTTCTCAGCTCTGCACAGAGCCCAGCCATCACTGAGCTTCCTTTTCAGTGATTAGAGGAGCAAGGAGCAACACTTTGTCCTTCTTATGAAGGGGAGAAGCCAGCAGCCCAAAGATATTTGGGGCCCAACATTTTTTCAATGTGACAGACCTGTCAGTTGTTGTAGGTCTGCAGCCCACCCTCTAGAGAGCATGATTTTCACTGGACACCAGAGTTCTTGCCATTTCTTGCTCATGATATCCAAACAGCATGAGGCTATCCATGCAGAGTCACATGGGGAGGTGCTGCCTGGTGCCCACATGACCACAGTTACTTCAGGCTGTGATCTAGAGCAAGAGAGTTATCTTTGCCTAATTTCAGGTCTGAGGCCTGAGCTGCTGTGGATTCCAGGAGACTACAAGTTCATTCAGAGGTTTGTGGCAGGTAGTATCTGCTCTGTGACTGGGCCTGTAGCTGGTCCCAGTTTCTGTCTGAACAGAGACACTTGGCTATACCATACTTTGTTTCTGAACTTTGCAGGTGCAGCTGGTACTTGAAGCCTCTCCCACCCCAGCAGAGTTGAACTAGGTCACTGCATTGCATTGTCATCTGTACCATCTGTCACTTTTCAAGCTAGTAAAAGGTTATTGCAGATACAACCCCCTTTCTTTTCAATAGATGTTCATATAGTGTCCTTTACAAGTTTTTCCTTGTAAAAGTTTTTCCTTGTATTTGCTCCTTTAGTAAATACCAGAAACATGGATGACCTTATGTTGCTGGGACATGGTGAGCAGGGCTCTGGGAAGCTCTGCCTCTGGTGGGACCCAGAGGGAGTAATTGCAGCCCCCAGTCAGCTCCTCTGTCTCCTGTTACTCTGGCTCCCAGGTGAGAGATTATGTGATGGTTCTACACACACCTGTGAAAACTTTTTTATTGTGGTTGGGTCCTGTGTCCTGGAACCTCTGTTTAGCAAACCCACTGATTCAAGCTCAGGATGCTGCAGGGTCCTGGCTCTACTGTGGATACTGGGGTATGACCTAGACTGCACAGGTGGCCATTCTGTTCCCTTTCCATCTCAGGGAACACAGCAGAAATTGTGCTGACACAGACTCCAGCCTCTGTGGCTTTGTCTCCAGGGAAAAGAGCCACCCTCACCTGAATGGCCAATCAGAGTGTTGGCAGCTCCTTCTCCTGGTACCAGCAGAAGCCTGGGCAGGCTCCCAGATGCCTCATCTATGGTGCATCCAGTAAGGCCAGTGGCATCCCATCTCTGTTCAGTGGCAGTGGGTCAGGGACAGCCTTCACCCTCCCATCACAGCCTGGAGCCTGGGGAGGCTGCAGTTGTGACAAACTGCAAGGCCACACAGGTTACCACAGTGGTTCATCCCCCAACAGAAACCTCACAGTCCTCTCTGCCACCATACCCTTAGGTATAGCACCTTCTCACAGAGGCACCCAGTCAGATCCTTTGCACTTTTTTCTTCCTACTGCACCTGGAAAGGTTGTGTGATTGGAAACCAAGGTTGATTCAGGTCTGAAAGATGCATGGTCTCTTGGGCCCTCTTTGGTTCCCTGGAAAAAATGTGAGTGATTAGAGAGGATGGGGACACATGGTGTTATTTCCCTATTTACCAGGTGAGGATGGAGTCTCTGGGAGAGCCTTATATCCCAAGTACAGGCAGTTAAAGGTGAATCTCTAAGTGTAGTTTGATTCCCAGACAATTATATCCTGCTCATTTTGACCTCAACAATATGTGGTTAAATCTGTCCAAGCCCAGACACTGTGAACATGGTTTTAGAAATTGCTCCCAGGTCCTAGTCAAATTTAAGCCAGTGTCAGAAGGGGGATCTCCCACATTCTGATCCTGGGATGTGGTTGAATCCATAGCATTTTTTGCTCTGTGTGCAGCCAAGGAGGCTCTCTCAGCTATTTCTGCTTCTCCACAGATGGAGGGCACAGGGTTACAAGATGGAAATTTGTGAAAGGGCGGCTTTCCCAGGACTCTTCACTGGAGCTGACATCTGAGTGACCTGTCTGACCTTTCTTTATCCTGTCACAATCCTGCCTCTTGTCTCTGACCCTGAATGTCTGACCCTGGACATGGCTTTCTTAAATAGTCAACTACTGAGGGAGTTGTTTAGAAAAAACCTCTACAATACATTCTAGGACACTGTGTAATGGGGTTTTATCCATGCAAATGCCAGGAAAATGCCAGCTGTCCCAACAAAGGAACTTTCAAAGTCTCAAGCTCAGTATCTCACATGCAGAACCTGATAACTACCCCCAAGGGACCATGTTCCTGTGAAAAGGCACCATGACTTTTTCCATCTGCATAAAGGGCTTCAGACTCACCTTCTTACCTCCCAGTCCACAGGCAGCCTTTTTCCCTTCCTGGAATTTCTCTGGTCCCAGTGCTGTGGAGTCAGACATGAGCTGAGGCCTCCTGTCCTCCATGCCAGCTGGCCTCACAGGAAACTCTTTTTTTTTTGCAAACCTGGGTGTCCCAGTTTGACTTCAATGTGCATCAGAGGTAAGGCCTGGTTGGTGTCAATTACTTTCATGGAAAGCTTTGGAATCCCAGAGCAGCCCATCTCTAGAGCTCAGGTTTGCTATCAAGACCCCTCCCACTAGACGGCTTCCTCGTGAATCTCTGCCACTGTCTCCAGTTTAAAGTGTTCCTGTGCTATTCCTGCCATTGTGCTTTTCCCACTCAGCACGGGTGGTGGGTACTTGTCCCTCTAGGGCTCTCCTCAAGTTTGGTGAAACAATTTGTGACATCTGTGCACAGACTTTTGTGTTTGAATTTGAACATCTGACAAACATGCAGGTGATTCACCATGTTCAAGGGAGTCCTGGTCTATAGGTTGCTGTTCTAATGTTTTAATCTTTACACTACAGTCAGCTGCTTCTTTGATTTTGTCACATGGGAAATGGAATAAGCACATTTTACTTTCCTTCTGAGGAGTGAAGGAAATTATGTGATGGACCGAGATGTGACAAGCAGAGCAATGACTAGGAGCAATGATGGCAGAGCTCACTCTGGGCTGTTCCTGGGCACGTGTTCAGAATAGCATCTCAACACCTTAGTTGAGCAATAGCAATAAGAAATTTATTTTGCACATGCTTGTGTACTGAATATTACAGAACAACAGTGAAGGAGGCTGACAAAAGGTAAATATAACCTTGTTTGATTATTTGTGTTTTGAAAAGCCTACTATTATTAAAATAGCAGCACATCTCTAATTAATAAGCACATTCAAAGCAACCAGTTTCAAAATCTCAGCTGCCTTTATTTATTTATTTATTTATTCATAATGGTCAGTCAAATCCTACAGTTAATATGAGGGTGTAAGGGACACAAGGAGACTAAAAAATCTTGCAGAAGAGAAATGCAGTGAGACACTTCAGATTCTGATTTTTAATGTTTTTAATTTAATTTTTATGGCTGTTTCTCTGTGATGCTGGGGAGAGAACCCAGGCTTCCCCCATGCTGCCAGTGCTCTCACAGTGACCACATCCTGAACCTCCCTTTCTCTTACCACAGTGCTGGGGAGTGCGGTGATTTGGTCCTGGCATAAAGACAGCTGTGTAGATGGTGGGATAGGGTTGAGGCCACACTCACACACTGGGTAGTTGATTTTTGGCAAGGTGGCAAGACCACACAATGGAAAGCGTACTGTTGTGAACAATAGACCTGGGACACTGGGACATCTGCAGGCAGAAGGATGAAGCTGGCCCTGCCACACACTATGTGTGACAATAGCACAGCATTTCACAAAGGCCAGGACTCAGGAGCAAAGATATTACATTTTCATGAGAAAACAGATGTGAAAATCTCGGTGACTTTGCATCATGTGACAGTCTCTCAGCTGTGGCACTAAAGTCAGCCAAGAAAGTCAGAACAGGCAAATGAGACTTGAGGAAATGGAATAGTATCTCCCCAGTGGACACTCTGAGAAATGTGTGTTTCCCACTCAGCACAGGTGATGGGCACTTACACTTGTTCAAAGATGACCCTTTGAACAGAGAGAGAGGGGAGCAAACCCTGTTACCTGACAAGGGCCACCTGCCTCAGTGAGTTCTCACTCTGGCCACTGCAGGAGGTCACCTGGATGAGGGCTGGCAACCCCCATGGGCTCTGGGGCTTTGCAAACCCTAATTTAAAGACAGGGCCCTCTGTTCTCAATGAGGAGGAGAGGGAGGCATGGAGGAATCAGAGCTCCAGTCACAAGATGCTCAGTGGGCACAGGATGGTAGGGAGCTGGGCTCGCAGTGATGGACCTTCACACAGGGACATTCACAGCCTTCATCTTACAGCTCAGGGTGCCCTTATGCAGGACATTTTCTTCTGATTCCATCAAAAAAACAGAAATAATTCAAATGTTTGTAAACACATTCAAATTAGGCAGATCTGGAATAGGATTTGAGTGTCCAGAAATGTCTTCTGTGTCAAGAAACCAATTTTTTTCTCATAATTTGAAAAGACATATGCTCAGAATTCACATGTTTTCTATCTTTATTTATCAAATTACTTAGTATAAGCCTTTTTTATTCATCTGAAATGAATTTAGAGATTCACAGTAGCACTTTGAGGTAAACTGGGAAACCACATTAGTGCAGGTCTGTGTGAATATTAATGGTCAAAGTCACTTCATTGAGAACAACATGTGCTCCCTCAGGTTGTGTCTGGGAGCCTCTGTCTTCCCTGGTGATGCTCCAGTGTGGTTCTGGATCTAGTTCCAGTTTTCTGAGTATTATGAGCATGGCCTCTTGACATCTTTCCTCTATAGCCACCTTTCTATTCAAGATCATATATTTTGTCTTCAAGGCTTGACAAGTCTGTCTTCAAAGTGGCTAGAATGATTGGAGACTGTTTTTTTTGAATTTAAATGTGATTTATTGGGTCATTTACAGGGTTTCCTTTTGTTCTTTGTCAGAGTGTCTGAGTCTCCAGTAAAGAGATATTTCTCTTCCTGTGTTTTCTAATCTCACTCCTGGCATCTCCTTTTAGTTCACTGGACACTTTAGCCATGAGCTGTGTAAATTTTATCTCCGATGTTCTGCTCCACAGTGGTGATAATGGCGTCGGGTGTAAAAGTGCTCTGAGCTGTTTGTTCTTTGATGGGTGATTTGTTCCTTTGATTTTTCATTTTCATCCATATATCGGGATGGCTATTGCTTCCTCTTTGAAGCAAGACACTGTTTCATGAGCTTCTTTTTCTTCAGAACCCCTGGTTTGAGCAAATATCAAGATATTGATACTTTAACTCAATGAGTGGCCTCTGCTGTTCCCAGTATCAGCTGATTTTTGAAAGATGCCACAGAGTGGAGCAGATTCTATGCTTATAAATTATAAATGGTGCACTGTCATATGTGAATCCTATTCACAACTGATCTTATACACTCTGAATTAAATTTTAAATTGAATTTTTCAGTTGTTTTACTTTGAATGTTCAATGTCACATGTGGCTAATGACCAGCAAGTAGGACAACTTGGATACACAGTTCACCACCATGACAGAATCGATATGAGTGTAAAGATTAATGTGTTCATTCCTGGTGTTGTGGCTAGGAGCACAAAACTTTGAGCCATTGGTAATGAACTTGGGGGTGTCAGGTCCTTCCTGGTTGGGACAGCTGCTATGGTCTAGGTGTGGTTCTAGGAAGCTTCTGCATGGCAGGAAGGACTGACTGATACACTGGCAGTGGACACCAGGAGGCCTTGGGTCCTCCCTCCCCATCTTATACCCTTCAGTCCTCAGTGAACTTTCTGTAGTCACACCTTATCATCTCTCCTGGGTCACATAGCTCATCCTAAACCCTAATCTCTTTTAGACCCTTGGTTGTCATTTAATCTTAAGTCCTGGACTAGCAGACAAGGTTACTGACATGAGGGGACAGCTGTTTTTCTCGAAGAACTCAATATCCTGGTGGTGGTACAGTGACATCAGCATCTTGAATGACACTGAAGACTCAAGTAAAGCCTCCGTGGGACACAGTCTCTAAAATCCTGAGGATGTTTTGTTACAGAGTGACCAGTAGATGGCAGACTAAGGACAATGAACTGAGAGGGCTGCCTATTTCCACAATATTAGGGAAATAATAGAGTGTTGTATCCTCTTATCAACAGGGAATGCCTCCTCTTCACCAGTGTGTCTGCTGTGAGAACAGACTCATGGGAGGAGCTGGCAGGGGCTGCCTGGTGTGGAAAGCTGCTCTGTGCTCTTGGCCTGGAAGCCCAGCCTGGCCCCTTCCTCTCTGTCTCCAGAGCCAATATGATATGAATGAATCTTGTTCCCTGATATTGTAGGCTGAAGCCCGACCCCAGTGTGGCTGCTGGTGGAGAAAAGGACAGTAAGGAGGTCATTAGGGTCAAATGAGATCCCTGTGGACCTGGGACCTGCCTGGCTCCTGCTCCTGCTGCTTCTCTGACTCTGGTGGAGAGGGAGGACCCTACTTTCCTCTCAGTGTTGTGCTGAGCACAGGATTTCTTGCTCATGAAGTTGTTCAGCTTGTTTTATTTCTGTCAGAATCTCACAAAATTTAATGAGAGCCTGTTTGGAGCTCATGAGGGATGTTTTCATGATCATTTCCCACCTAATATGAGAGCCAATTGATATCAAACCCCAGCTCCTTAATCCCTGGGACATGACCTGCTTGGGGATATCCACAAGGTCCTATGAGATCTGATGCAGAGGTGCTAGGGTCAGAGGGAGAAGTAATGTGGCACCTCAGGATGCCTGTCCACATATTCCAAGTGGATCCTATGACTGTGGTGAGCCCAATTCCCAAAGTGCTTTCATCAAAAATTGGGCAGTGCTGGGCCCAGCTGGTGCTGCCCTGTGCTGAGTCCCACAGTCCTGTTGTGATGAGAGGCCAAGTCACTCAGTCACTCAGTGACCCAGGGCATGGTGCCAGGGCTCAGGGATGTTCTGAAGGCTGCTTTTAGAACAGTAGTTGCTTCATTCTTCTGGATCCCTGGGGATGGCCTGCTCTTCTCTAGTGCTCTGCAGGTCTCTGCTTTGACACTTTATTGAGAACTTGCCAGGGACACACACATTGTCCTCATCTAGCAAAAATCCTCCTTCCCCTAGAAATGTGCTGGGCCCTATGGTCACACAGCAGGGCTCCTCGGTCACAGGACAAGCCTGCTGCAGAGTGTCCTACTCTGGACCCCTCAGCACAGACAGGCTTCACAGGAAGCTGATGAGTGGTTGGTGCAGCTCATCCAACATGGAGTATGCCATCTCAGCTTTGCACAGAGCCCAGCAAGCACTGAGCTTTTTTCTCTGTGGCTGAAGATACAGGGAGCAATTCCTCCTTCCTCTCCTGAAGGGGAGAAGCCAGCATGTCTCAGAAATCTGGGCTCTATCATGTTTACAGTGTGACAGATGCATCAGTTGCTGTAGGTCTACAGCCCAATCATTGGATAGCATGGGCTTCAATGGAAAACA